ACAGAACAAGTACTGTACTGATAACCGGTATGTGTACATGATAATTATCTCGCTAGGTATACGACAAACGTATTTTACTATTCATGAAAGGACTACGCCACAAGTGATGCAGTCTCGTTGTGGTGTTTACTGGTAATTACCATAGCGACTTAGTCTACTCGTCGTAAATACAAAGATACATCCATGAATCACGGAACACTGAATGACTACCGTTTGCATGTTTCCTATTATGTTTTACTATGCCTGTCTTCAAAACAGAAAAGCATTGGCAAAAGCAGTAAGAATTAATTGGCATGATGTGCAATAGTCTGAAAAGCGGATTGAAGCTATTTAACAGTATAAAACAGTGTAACGTTTTAATGTATTCAACAATGCACCGATGCTGAAAATGATCAGAATTGGAAGGGTATATTCAGATAATTTCCACCAAAAATAAATAAATTAGCTATGCCTTCTTACAAAGTAATCATATGGAAACAAAAAAGGCCTACATCTTTGTTGTGGCAGTATTTATGTATGCACGTTTTCTTCTGAATTTACCTTAGAAATTCTCCAAATTTTATAAATAAGAAATCTTTCATACATTTATAATAACATATTCAGAGTTACTATACCGTAAGTCGACGAACAATAAAAACGCAGTATTGAAACAATATACCTGTTACCATATTTTCACTAATATTAAAAATTTAATTATATGAATCCTTTTGTCTTCCTTACATAAAGTAAGAATGCCAGAGTACTTGGTAAGACCATGGTTGTATTTTTTAATATGATTACTTCTTATTGCATACTTTACTGAGGAACGCACTGTTAACGTTAGAATATTTATGCAAGGATGACACCTTTGTGTTATTTCCATTTTAAATCGTATCTATTTTTATGATTGCAACTATTGCTTTTCATTCTTATGATCATTAATTCGTAAAAAAGAAAGACTTTGTAATAATAAGTCGCGTAGAGAAAGTTGTAATTATATATTCTTTGAATATAGTAATATTCTTTTATAATAGAGACTTTCAGGTATATATGGGGAATCATAATTCCTGAAAGTTTCGGATAAAGCTCTTTAAGTATTTCGAGGGAAGTGTTGAAACTTTCCACCTATTTTAAATTGAAGAATGTTTCAAATGTGAAAAGGCACAAATATAAAACACCAGTAAGAATGATTGTTTTGGAGACTATTTTTGTGGCAATAAGAAAACTATCCCTGGAGATGATAATTCTATACAGGAGTAGTCACAGAAGTTCAGCAACAAGTACTGTTATAAATCATACCGGTTCTAGTACTATTACAACTATAAGTACTACTGACAACAACTACAATAACTGTAAAATAATAAAAAAAATAAACAAAATAAATAAAGTATCATATGTTTCAAGACAAGTTATATGATAACTTAGAATTAAACATGAAAATATTGCAAGTTTGAAGATATATTATTTACCGATAAAAGTTTGATGTTGCAACTTACCAGGAGGACTCCAGTGCATCTTGCTGCTTTTCTTGTTGGAGAATTCTTGATAAAGATCCCAGACTCAAAGATAATGCGAGATGAAGACAGAGGAGAATTAAGAACAATTGTTTGGTCAGCATTCTAGTTTTGCTACTTCTATGCATTGTGTTCATCGTTCCTTGCGAAATGTATCAATTGCTATAGGAAGAGTATTAGGACCTGTTGACGGAGTCGGTCTATAGTATCGAATATTTCCTAGTTTGCTTATTTAATGAAATGTATAGTATCAAATCTTTCCTAGCTTTCTTATTAATGAAATGTTCAATTGTACGGTAAAGAAATTGATAAAAAAGTTGCTTTTAGCAAGGTAGTATTTTGAGCTAAAATGTTTTAAAGTTGCCTTCTATACCAAACTTTTCTACTGAGTTACCATATCGGCCTTTTTGTCACATGTATGTTTAGTCCGTAAAGAAACAATCAAAGATAAAACCCTCACAAGTGCTTGTCCTTGTTTCCTCACGCTTTCGGTTTCCAATACCAGGTCTTGTCTTGCAATATGCTTTATAAAGGTCCCTAAATTTCTACTGTTGCTGTCAATCAATAACCGGTGAATATTATAAAAGGCAGGTCTGTATATACTACACGCGGTCCAATGCAAACTATTGGTTCTTATTTGCTGCATATGTATCAGCCTTAATACTGCATCCAACGAAGAAGATAATGACTGAAAATGGGAGTGGTCAAAAGTGAGATCTAAATCCAAAATAGCACGATATTGTAAACCATTTTTCTTTGTAGAATTTAACTTTTATCATACTATATGTATTCGGATAGTACTGTAATAAAAACAGCTATTTCAGATCGAATCATTTTATAAACAACATGTGACTATATTGAAAACTTACTGTAAATTTAAGTTTTTCATATTTTTTTGGTTGTGACAAACTTTGAAGTAAATAACCAGCACAAATATATCTTAAATATCATAAACACATAAATGCCATTTCTGTCATAGATTTACTAATAGTTATCTAAGAGAACCAATAGAGTAGATTTACCAGTAGTATAGAAGACAAGCTATCTAGTTGTCTGTACGTTTGAAATATGCAAAAATTTCAGTATCACTAAAAATGCAATTTATTGCAAAACATAAAAATAATGTCCACGAAAATTATTTGATTTGCATAACTCGCAAAGGTACATTCAATCTTGTGGCTTGTCCGTAATTCAAAGCTCATTATTACATTTGGTATTCACTTTCATCTGTCTGAGAGTGAAATTGGTTTATACGTCACACACACACACACACACATACACACACTATAATCCCAAATGTTTTGCGTTGATTGTCAGTTTGATCTTGTACATAAAGGCGAATGACCTGAATGTCGCAGTATACCTTGTCATGCATATTTTTCAGAATCTAAGTATAGAAGTACACACAATAATATATTTCACTGTTATTACTTTGCATAAATGATCTCTTTTTTCGAAATGAAAATAATCGAGTAAATAGGTGGAATATGTCGCAAAGAATCGCTTAAGGTAGAAGAAGAGAAATCCAAAAGAGGATAATTAACAAGGAAGCAAGTACTAAGCCATAGCTGATAATCTTTTTATTCGTACATGGAGATTTACTCTAAATGATGGGCAAAACACTCCAAACATAAAAATAAATCTATGTTAATTGTATAGAATGTTAGAAACCTATGGGTCTCATATTTCTGCATAGACATATAAGATGGCTCTCATATTTCTGAATAGACATATAAGAGGATTGATAAGTAAAACAAAATAAAAGCAACAAAATGTCGTAAACTAGAATTTGTCAGGTATTAACCATTGTTTAGTGCATTTGGACCGCGTAGCACAGAGGTAAAGTAAAGAAATTTATAGCACATGCCTAGATAAAAATACTTATAAAGATAAAAAATATTTGTTTACATATATAGGAAAAGGGCGAACAAGAAACAGTGAGACATTATATATATATATATATATATATATATATATATATATATATATATATATATATATATATATATATATATATATATATATATAGATATATATATATATATATGTGTGTGTGTGTGTGTGTGTGTGTGTGTGAATGGAATTTGAATTCTACTTGGTATGTATCCAAATTAATTACGATAATTCACTCATGACTTGTTCGGTTATGACATCCATCTTTTCAATAAGACTCTTGTAATCATTGTACAGATGAAGAGATAGAAAACACCATACTGAATATCGATGAGAAAAGCATACCACTCTTAATGCATTTTATATTTTATAATTTCTTGACAGAAGAAACAAATAACATTTTGCAGGCAGATTTAGAATCATGGCAATATAAATAACAGTTGTTGTTGTTGTTGTTGTTGGGCTTAACGCCTTTTTCAGTACACGATAGGCTATTCATGGCAGACAGTATTAATGGTGGAGCAAGAAACCGGGAAAAAAACGGAAAGAACCACCGACCCACGAGAAGCTACTGGCAAGCTTTCTCACATATCCACATTCGCCGAATCCTATACTCGAACCCACGCAGACAGCGCTGTAAATATTTAGCTTTCATTCGTGGCTTTAAAACCATTTTCAGCACACGATAAGCTTTTTATGTTTTGCATTTCTTGCAAAGAAAGCTAAAGATGACAAAGTGCTCACACGTCAGATCAAGGTCCTCTATAATCAATCTACATTCTACCAAGATCTGTCTTTTGGGCACAAGTCAGTATATGCTATAGCATCGTGTGTCGTTTACAATTTGTCACTTACATCTCATCGGCATTCTAAATGTTCTTTGCTGGTGTTTCATGCATTGCTGTTTTCTTGATAATAAATGTATCAATTTCACATTCAAGCTCTATGTTACAAGCCTGTTTATTCTATCCAAATGCGGCAACATCAATATTTGTATAATATGAAAATACCGTGGTCATTCGACATGAAATATCCTCGCTTCTATAGGATAAGGTTATCTCTTTCACATCTGTTCTACATGTATTTTGTCCACAGTATTTCCAGTCAATCATCATACCTTCATGTCTGAAATCTGATACAATATATTTGGACTTGTCTTAGGTAGACAAATGTTTAGATTGTTCGGATTTGATGTTGCCTGGTGTGGATATGATACAATACTGCGTTTGACGGGGGCATTTAACCCATTATTGTATTTGTTATAACTTGTTATGAGTTATGTGTTTATCGTACGTTGACACCTTTGCTATTTCTATGTTGCAAAAACCAATGATCACACTCAAGCCCATCAAACGTGTAATAAATATGTTAGTGTGTGATTTCGATTTAGATTTTTAACGTAGTTCTAACAATTTTTCAGTCATATCGCTACGATCTCTGCAGTGTGACAATTTATAGTGATGTCTAGCACTACTGCATCATGCCGCAGATATGTGGCCTAATATCCCACCCAGTCACATTATCCTGACACCAGGCCGACCAGTCATAACACTAACCTCTTAATGCTGAAGCCAAGAGAGGCAGCTATTAGTACCATTTTAAAAGTATTTGGTATGACTCCGCGGGTGTTCGAACCCGCGAATTCCCGCATCCGAGGCGGACACTCTAACCACTGAGCCACTGGAGTTGTGCAATAAATATATATTCGTATGCAGTGTTCGTAAATAGGCTTACAAAAATCAATAGGTTTATGGGTTGTTTTGATTTTTCGTATTTAAAATTGAAAGTCTGTCTTTAAATTAACATCTTTTACTGCCGGGTTCCAACATAGAAATTGTAGCATACTGTCTAGAACTGTTAATATCCCCCTCATGTCCAGCAACACGTGTCTCTTTATTGATAACACGAAAAAGCGAATATTATCGGAGGAAATGTGCATCATTTACTCTTTTTCATGTGGAATTACAATATTAACTGGACGGGATGCAATGTGAACGTTGAAAAACTGAAAAACAATGAATACTGTGTGGTTGCTTTTAGGTTTCACTTGAAACATTACACATTCCGTTTGTGATTCTCTCTCTCCCCCTATATATATATATATATATATATATATATATATATATATATATATATATATATATATATATATATATATATATATATATATATACTATTTTATTTTAATTTTTTCAACAATATTGTTATTGTTCACACCTACTATCAGGTTGGGTTTTAAATGTCTTTTGCTTTTATCAGTTATTAATGTTTAATTTAATTGTCTCTGTATGAATCTTTGTTAAAGAATTACTTAATTCGTTATATTATTCTAATTGGTCAGTGTTGTATCTTACCACATTGATGTCATTAACTATTTCTCAATAAACTCTTTTTATCTTTCAATATCTACATTTAGATCATGCAACAGCTTTTTCATTTACAACTTATAACAAAATATATAATGGATACATTCTAAGCTGTTTTCGTTAATGTTATGTTGGTTTCATGAGACTTTTTATTTTCTTGACCAATTTTTATTTGTATTAGTTCGGATAAATCATTCTTTGTCTGTGCGTCATACAGAAGAAAAGATTGACCTCAGTCATCTTGGTTGTTCAGGTCAGTATTGTATGCACACATCTTTCGAAAAATCTTTTATACTGAATAAATGTGACAGTTATGAATTTGTATTCTCCATGTTTTGATATATTTGAAAGCTATACCTTTCAGAATTTTGAGTATTTGAATTTCAGCACGTTGTTGGGGAACTGATTAGAAGCTGTATCAGTTAATGTAACATAATTATAAAAATGTGATACCGTTTGTTTCTGAGGTTTAAGTATTTGGTTGCTAGACGTAGTTTGGCATGATCCTCTTTTTCAAATTTTTAAAGGAAAGGCAAAGGTACCTCTTAAAGATGTCGCATTTTCTGCCATTTATATAGCTATAGTACATGAGTCGCCAACGTGTACGTCATCAATTGTAGTATTTATTTGAAATGAAAAATATCTGATGCATAGAGTGGAAGTCTTTTATCGTCTTCATAGTGTATGACGCATATTATTGTGGTATCATTCTGGTAATAGTAACCATTTGTTGTTGCTTATAGTTACACATTCTTAGTAAAAATATGTGTAATAGGCAAAAATTTTAATGAACTAGAATATACAGTGTTACGTGACAAGGGCTCGTACTCAGTAACAAAGAAAACAGTGAAAGCCAACAAGCTTTGTATATTTTAACTAAACACTTTATTTCCCTAGACAACAATGTAAAAATTGGTAAATAGGACTTACAGTTTGTGAATATAATCTAATTATGATTTTACGAATAAAAACACAAGTCCTATCATTAAATAGTCCTATAAAAATTCAGGTTCGAGTCCCGACGACGTACGAATATGGAAGCGATGAGGTCAGATGAAGTCGAATGTATGAATATCAAGAATTCCTCACTTGAATCACCATTTGTGTTTCCGAATAATTCCAGAATGAACTTCAATGAATATCTTTCCGAATTTATTTCTTAAGAAAATCAACTTATTGAATGTCCTTGAGAATAAAGTATTGAATCCAAAAATCATACCAAGAATAAAATATTCTGGCAAAAAAAGTAATACACCTTGTCCTTTCAAGATATATATATATATATATATATATATATATATATATATATATATATATATATATATATATATATATATATATATATATATATATATATATATATATATATATATAATGAGTATTTAGAACCCCAGACTTCATTTCAAGTTTTGCGAGGTTGGTCATATGGTCTCTTACTACGCTAATGTTCACATGTAAGCCGATGTCACTCTACTTAAAAACCAATCATAAGAAAGGTTGTTTACAAACAGTGATCACGCGAAGACAGTATTCCGTGATACTGACCAATCATTTAAACTTCCTGTTGATATCGTGACTGGGTAAGACGGACTCAATAATAATTCTCACGTAACAATTCTTCGTCTTAAGTAAACAAACTTTATGATAAAAATATATCTCACTACTGAAGTTAGAATTCCGAATCCGAGAAAAATATTCATTGCAATTAAATACAATGAAACAAAAATAAAAAAAGAATTTTAAGTTTTACACATAAGCAATTTAATCGTATATATGTAACAACAGCATCGAAATAATTTATATTATTGATTTGAGTGATAGTCTTGAGCTCTAAATCATCGGTACTACCGGAAACCATTACCAGTCATAATGTTTTCAAACCTTACTGTAAAAACTTTTATTAATGTTTTTTGAAGCAATGGACACAAGTCTTGTACTAAAACCAGGAAATCCAACTATGCTAGTAACTCCTGTACCAAATAAAACTGTTTTTATCCCAGATCCACTCAGTTAAAGCTGTGTATGATATTGCCTATTTTTTCTAAAACTCATGTCATGTTCGACCGCTTCTGTAAGTTATTTGCATTCTTGTTAGTGTTTTGCAGTCGAACTGGAATAAAGCTTAAGGCCAAGTCCATAATGCCAAACAACGTGCAACCAATATACAACGTTTAATCGTTAAATGTTATTTATTTAAAGCTAACAATTATTTTGAAACTTAAGTGTTTAAAGAAAAGTTATAAACGCAAAGGTGTGTCCAAAAATGAGAAATAGGTAAATAACTGTGAGTTTTACAAACTTTGTGATTACCTAACATGTTTTTCAAAAAGAAATAAAAAAGCCAAAAGTTAACAAATGCAATAGAGAATGTCAAGCTCGCAACGAAAGAATAAAACAAAAAATGGCTGAGTAAAAGGAGAGCACAATAAAAGTTACATTGAAGCATTCGTGATGTGCCCCTAATGACAAACATTTTAAATTAATTAAAGGAAGAACTTGAACTTCCTAAGTACAGTGATGGCTAAACTTCACGAAACATGAAGGGTTAAATAGTATGGTTTTTATTGTCATAGGATGTGCTTCTTTCGATTCGTTGCACCCTGAGCAACAAATAGTTTCACTAGTCAAACACTAGACTAGTAAAAAGGACTGAAATATTACAATTCATTCGTGACAAGAAATACAAAAGCACACGAAAAAGTTCACTTACTCCAGATTGATATCATGATTACAGAGGAACGTTTGGAGAGCATTATCTAAGCTAATTTCTTTACGTGATCTTGCTAAGTGATAAATATCTACTTCTCAGTAACAAGTACTGTAAGTAAATTGCTGTTGAAGTCACAAATACATAGGTAACATACCAAACAACACACGTTTTATTTACTTATTTTATGTTGCCTTTGTGAAACATTCTTATTCAGAGAGATATTTGAATATTATCAAACCATAACCCATATCTGCGCAAAATGTAGCTTAAATTAAATATTTATCTCTTTCAATAGGCATAGCCTATTCCTGTTTGTACTTTTCGGTGTATGCATAAGTAAAGTTATTGCTATTGGCGTCTAAAATCTTCATTCTCTTTCCAGCTGTGCTTTTTCTAGTCTTTTCATCTTTAAATAACTTAAGAATGAAGGTAGATATTCATGATCTTGAGTAGTCAGTCATTTCAGAGAAGACGATGATCAAACATAAATTGAAGATACGAACAAATCTTAGTGGGTTTTCAGAGACAAGTGTGAAAGTGCTTATGTTTAGCGCCCGGTTTTCGACTCGTAAAAGGAGGTATACAGGACGTCCTTTTAATGGGTGAATTACAGTATGCATTAGAAAGAAAAACCCTTTAGAATTAAAACATTATACTCTATCTTATCTTGATAGTACATCAGTTCAGATATCGAGATTTATGCTAACAACCTGCATTGTAGATGTTCATACCGAAAGGAGTAGTCGTTCATATTTATTTTTTAATAAAAGGCGTTAAATGGGTGTCATCTATTGACGTCTGTCCATCAGAGAACTTAATTACCATTTAAATGGTGTTTACAATATAATAAATACACACAGCTAAATAGTAATTGCACCATACTGTCGACAACCAAAACGTATCAGAAGAATGAAAACCCTTTGATGCAGATGTAAGAAATATTTAAAATTTAATACAGTTAAAAGCTTATTAACTTGATAAGAGGAAAGAAAATGAAGGGATTATTAATAGCTGCAGCAATTGTTGATGTTAAAATAGAATCCAAAAGATCTTGGTACGGTATGCATGAACACATTGAAGAGTTTACAATATTTATCATGAAAGAAACAATAACATTGTATAGCAAGAGCAGTTGAAATTGATTGAAGGCATAAAGCGCATGTTGTTGTAATCTAACACAGTTGGATCGAGTTTTGAGAGAAATGTTGTAATTTAAAGGTTAAAGGGTGTTCGAGTGTAACTCATTTCGTATGGTTACACATGGTATGTAAAATAGCGATATTTCTTACATGTAGGCTTGCCTTCAGAAATAGCGTCATTAATTACAGTCCATACCACCTCTCCTCCTCCAACAAGTAATAACATAATGCAGTTATTTCAGAGCGTAATGATATGTTAATAGCAACCCAACCTTCATGGATTTCGTATGATGAAAACAGCAAAAATGAACTTTCATGGATGGTGTCTAGACCGAGTTTCTTTTGTCGCAAAGTTTGATTTTGATTTTTTGGATTTATCTCTACTATATCCCTGACGATAAAGAGCTATAAGGGTGACGATGACGAGGAATAAGATTATGCTTTTCCTATGAAATGGAAAAGGACTGATGACT